CGTATTGAATAAGACGTCATTTTCTAAAACAATGAGCATGGCTACCATTTAAAGTCATCAGTGGGGCCATTAGCAAGATTTCATTTCAAAACTCTTGCACATTTTGCATGGACAAATCCCATCCCATGCCAAACAAGAGATATTACCGGTATATGTCCAATAAAATCTCCATGTACCATCACTTAAAGACTTTTGATAAATCAAGATATCTCGTGAAATCTTAAGTGAGAATGCATTGAGCATGACAAATTTCAAGATTGACTCCTTGGTATGAATTAGTCCGGATGATTGAGGTTCAACTACGGTTATTGACTTTTTTCTTTATCAGTCTGTATGGAAAAAAGAAAAAAAGTAAAAAGTTGCTTGGAAAAGAAACTTCAAAAGAAAGAAAAGATGTTTAATGGCTTTCTTCTTCCTACTCTTACAATATTTCAAAAAAAAAAGAACTTGAAAGGTAGACCCGTGTAATTTCCCAGAAAGATTCAGATAAATGACAACATAACCCTCAAAATCTTGTTTTGAAGACCCACGTACGTCTTCACTTTTCAAGCAAATTCCCTTATTTGTAACTCAACCGCAATGTATTCAACTTAAAAATTAACATATTTGGTAAAATCATCCCCCTCTTCTTTTCCGAGCCAATCTGTACAGAAACCTTAAGGCATTTGAAGTGCGATACTTTAAAAAAAAAATTACCACCTAGAAGAATTCCCTCCACACCTAACATCAAAAGTGCACTAGAAATCTTAAATATTTGCACATAATGCAATTGAGTCCCAATTATTTGGTGAGCACAATCAAACCATCAACCTTTGCAAAAAGTAAAATCAAGTCTTTTCCATGGAGAATGCCCAAACTTGCCTAGATAGCACTCAAAGCCTTTGTGGCAACCTTTAATATCACTTCTTAATATAGGTTTGGGACTGTATGACTGGAAAAATTACCAAAAAGTCCCAAACCTATTGCAATTGTACTAATTCAGTACAAAATATTTTTTTCTATCAATTGAGTCATAAACCTTATACATTTGTGTCAATTCAATCCGTTTAGTCAGTTTTGGCCGGCCGGCACTGATGTGGACACCAGCCGTCCTACGTGGTGCAGCTGGAACTGGCATGGACAATTTTTAATATTTTTTTATTAATTTCTTATTTTATATTCTTTTTCCCTTTTTTTTTTATTCTCTTTATCTTCATCCTCTAGCCGGTCGCTGAGCAAGAGGCAAGAGCTGGCTAGGTCAGCCCTGCCAGTTGCTAGCAAGGGTGAGCCTTGCCCGCCCCTGGCGAGGCCAAACTCGCCGGCCCTCGCCTTTGGCCAGTAGCTAAGTTGCGGCGACCGGCTAGAGGATGAAGATGAAGGGAGAAAAAACAAATAGAAAGAAAAAATAAAAAGGGAAAAATAAAATAAAATAAAATCGAAAAAATATGAAAATATTATTCATGTTAGCGCCGCTCGCCAATTTAGTCTATCAAATCGGCCAAAATTTGCCAGATGGACTAAATTGGCGTAAAATGCAAAAGATTTAGGACTCAATTGGCAAAAAAAAAAGTTTAGAACTGAATTGGCACAATTGTAATAGATTTATAACTGTTTTGGTAATTATCCCCTTTATGACTTGATTACACCCGCATAATGGTTTAAGACTCAATTATACTTTTCCATTTTCATAGGACCTTATTGCAGCAACTGGAAGGTTCGACACTTGATTACAGTTCGTACATAAGATGAAGATTTTTGGAACAATTTCCCCCAACACATAACTATGGCATTTTTAAAAAAAGTAAACATTGCATGCCGAAGCATTGCATTATACTTTAGGGAAGGTTAATCCGCTATAACAACCTATTAAATTAGAACACTTTATGTGAATAAGAACAAACGCATGGTTGGATTAAATTTAACATTGCGTTACAAACTCGTTGAAAAATCAGAATTATTATGCAACCTCATTATGATTAGGATCGACCAAAGTCTTTTTTTAAATTTTCAGAAGACAAATTTAATTTTAGCGTGGAAGTTCCTCCATTTGGACCTGAATATTCAACCCAATTAGCAAGTTTACGCATCCTTTCTTCCTGAATTAAGCTTACTATGCTGGAGTGCACGTCAAATTTCATAATTCCATGAAAAGAATATATATTTAGTCAAAATCTAACCCAGCAGCTGCAAGTTCGAGTAGATTGAAAGTTATGCTGGATGAGTTGACAAGGACGACGACCCATAACCTTATCCAATCACCAAACGTGACGGGCGCTTCAAAGAAACTAAGAAACAAATATCGTACCTTAGTCTCCAAATTCTTGCATTATTTCTATTCATTTATTAACGAGCAATGCAACTCTAGAATCATGGATCCATACCGTGATTAGCAATACACTTTGGATTGACCAATAATGTGCACATCTCAATAGGCACATCAATGTCGCGGATAAAATGGAGAATACACATCAATTTACAGACTGCGTGTTGGTATTATTGATGAGTGTGAAATTTTTAGGGCTGATCATCACAAAAAAAAGTCCATAAAGACCATGACTTTCCATGAACCATTGTAACGCGTACTGATCCAAAAATCAAAACACGAGAAACCCCTAAAGACCATGACTTCTCGATGTGTAGTCATGATCTGATGGTGCAAAGTCAACGCACAAAACCCCGAAGACCTTGACTTCTTCACACTTGAATTGCACACTCGACAAGGACCTCGACTTCCCGATGGAGGTGTACAAGTTCCATTCATACATGCACGCTGGTTTAAATTCTAATTGAATCATAAAACCACGAAATGTAGAGATTCGCATGAGCAGAATATTCTACTAGTTAGAAAATTACTGCCATGACATTCAAAATCCAATCACTTATGGGTTGATATATAAATTTTGACGACCCATTTGGATATCAATATCTAATGAATGGACTATCTATTTGGATGGCACTGTTAGCACCTCGCTGCCCCTGTTCCGATCAAACGTGAACAAAGATGCACGCACGCCTTATTGATATATGAAAAAGCTACATAATCCAATGTGAAACTACAAATTATTGTATTATATTGTATTATAGTACTAAGACAAGTTCAATAGAAATTGATTGAAGGAAAAATCAAGACGTTAAAGTGTTATTAGATGAAAATAATAGTTCCATAAATTATTAGTTCAAAGTGAGAGGACCAAAATCGACACTAGGTTTCGAATTAATACTTTAAAGAAATTTTTCAATAAAACAACAAGCTAGAACCTGTGCAGCAACGGGAATTTCTCAAGTGTTAAAGAAAAGCTTCCAAACCAGGACAAAACCCTTTACTTTATACAATTAATGTGGTCTTATTCTTCCTCAAGCTTTAAATCGAAATCATGTCAAATGGAGAATGAGGGAGGATTTTTCACTATGCTTCCGAAAGAAAATGGTAGAGATTTCCGTGCATTTTAATAGTAGAGAATTCAAAGCCATTATACTTATCCTTTTTGGGACAAGAAGCCTGATATCGTTGTTTGGATGATAATGTGTGTTGAGAAAAGAAATTGTTGTCAGAGTAAATAGTGCACATAATAAAGGAGGGGGTGTTATAATTTTGCAACTTAAAGTCAACATGACACGCACAAAATCCACGTAATTTGCTCCATCAAACATCAGCTTTATTAAATTGATGTCCATGGTGTATTTCATTTAAATTAATTAATGAAAGGACGACAATAAACATATTAAATATATTAGGGATCTAATTATATATAAAAGGATCAATACCATGAAAAATTTCAAACTGGTACACCCGTGACAAATTTATCACAAATTATTTTTTTGATCACAAAAAATCCAAAATTGGTACACTTTTGACAAATTTATCCCTCGTTAGTTTCCGTTAAATTTTACTTTCAAATTTCTGAATTGGATGATACGTGGCAGTTGACAGGTGTGCCAGTCTAGGGTTTCATTGCTTCATTTGTCACAAGTTTAACAATTTATGATTTTTCGTGATATTGATCCAATTTAACGGAGGGTAAAATTATCGCAAGTGTACCGGTTTAGGGTTTTTGGCAGTCAAAAAATTAGTTTTGGGTAAATTTGTCACAGGTGTACCAATTTGAGATTTTTGGTAGTCAAAAAAATAGTTTGGGGCAAATTTATCACAGTTGTACTAGTTTTGGATTTTTGATAATCAAAAAAATAATTTGGAGTCTATTTGTCATAGGTGTACCAATTTGAGATTTTTGTTGGTATTAACCCAATATAAAATCCGCATGCAAGGGTTGCGGCCCTCACTGACCACTAGGCAAGGGCTTGCGGCCCTTGCTCAATGGCCACGAGCCCTCGCCCAGTGGCCGGTGAGGGCTCGCAACCCTCAAACGCGACCAGTGAGGGCCGCGAGCCCTTGTCTAGTTGTGAGCGAGGGCCGTTGCCCGCCATCGGCGAGGGCTCACAGGCCTTCACTCAGTGGTCGGCAGGGGTCGCCGGGCCTCGGCCGGTGGCCGATGGTCCCCCGCCATCCTTCACAATAAAAAAAAAAAAGAAAAAAAGTAAAGAATGAAGAGAAAAATAAAAGAAAATAAAAAATAAAAAATAATGAAAATGATAACAAAATTCGAAAAACATCAAAATATTATTAAAAATTATTCACGTCAGCGCTGACCATGCCATGTAGAACGGCCGGCGTCCACGTCAGTGATTTCCGGAAAAAATTGATCAGATGGACTTAATTGGCAAAACGTAAAAAGGTTTAGGACTCAATTGTCAAAATTAAAACATTTAAGACTGAATTGATAAAAATATAATAAGTTTATGACTTTTCGGATCATTTCATTCGGTCGTGCCGTGGAGCATTAGTCAAAGGGTCCATTTGTACCCTCACAGAGTTGAAAGTAAGTGTGAACGTAGAGAACGGGCCATTTATGGAATCACACGTGATTGAGGGGTATCATTTGATAGTTAGTATTTCTTTACATTGTTTTCTTTTTTTAAATTGAGACAATCATTTGGTAGGCTTTGGTATTGAATACAGAGAACAGGTCCGAATTAGCGAACCGTCTATTGATGCAATCAAAAGAGGCTGTGTTCATTATGGAGAAGTTCGTCTTTTTAGCATTTGTTGATGTTCTGTTGGCTTCGCTATTGATGTTTCAGCCCGTCATCTGTTCCGGCAACGTCACTGATCACGAGGCTCTCCGCCACTTCCAATCGGCAATCGAAGTTGACCCACAGAACACCATCAAAGGCGGCAATTGGACCGTGGAAGCAAATTTCTGTGAATGGATCGGTGTCGTTTGCAGCAACCGCAGGCAGAGAGTCACGGCTTTAGACCTCTCGTACATGGGTCTCCAGGGAAGACTCTCTCCCTACGTCGGCAATCTTTCTTTCCTGGCTTCTCTTGATCTTCGCAACAACAGTTTCTACGGCACGATTCTGATAGAAATTGGTCGTTTACGCCGCCTGAAGAAACTCATACTCGAAGTGAACCAGTTCGAAGGAAACATTCCTCCTAACTTAGCCCAGTGCCAGAACCTGGAAGTCATGTCACTCGCGATGAACAGGCTAACAGGTGGCATACCAAGAGAATTCGGCGCCTTCCCTAAGTTGCAACAACTGAATCTTAACTTGAACGACTTACGGGGTCAAATTCCGAGCGTCCTGGGCAACATATCCACATTGCAGGCCATTAGTTTGGTCAAGGCCAATCTCACAGGTTCTATTCCTCTAACACTTTTCAACAGATCCCTCACGAGTGTCTCTTTGACGGATAATTATCTCTCTGGAAGTCTTCCCTCTGATCTTTGCTACCGTTGGCCTAACATTCGGAGGCTTTTACTATCTCTTAACCAATTCAGCGGCCTGCTACCGGAGACCTTAACCCAATGCAAAGAGCTTCTCGTGTTGTCATTGTCAATAAATGGCTTTCAGGGAAGCATTCCTCGAGACATAGGCCGCTTGGAAAAGCTGCAGCGTCTCCTTCTAGGTGTGAACAACTTGACTGGCACGATACCTCGAACCATCGGTAACATGTCAAGCTTGCAAATGCTGGACGTAGGAGCTAACCATATCGGAGGTGACATTCCAAGTGAGATTGGCAAGTTGGTCAATGTGAATACAATGAGCTTTGAGCAAAATCTGCTAACGGGCGAAGTGCCTCGAGAGGTTTTTAACATTTCTTTGCTCCGAGTGCTTTCTTTGGTGGACAATTCCCTCTCCGGAAGCCTCCTATCGGGTGGTGAACTGAGCCATCCGAATTTGGAAAAACTCTTTCTAGGAAACAATGGCTTTGGCGGCAACATCCTGCAGTATATCTCGAATTTTTCGAACCTAGTCCACTTCGATGCCGGACACAATCAACTCAGTGGACCGATACCTAAGAGTTTGGGCAACTTGAAGAACCTCAGATACTTCGCGGTTCAGTCAAATCAGCTAACAGGTGAGACTTATGGTTCTGAGCTTGGTTTCCTCTCTGCTTTATCTAATTGCAAATCGCTGAAAACCTTGGTCCTGGAAAGTAACCCGCTTCGCGGCTCTATACCAGAATCTATCAAAAACTTCTCCAGTTCCCTACAAATTCTATACGCTCCCAATTGTCAAATAAGAGGTCACATTCCCAAGGAAATGGGTTTCTTGAAGAGCTTGACTTACATAGAGTTGAGCGAAAACGATCTAGACGGCAACATCCCATCATCAATCGGAGGACTAGAAAGCCTGCAAAGGCTGCATCTTGATGACAACCATCTTGAAGGATCAATGCCAGATGAGATATGCAACTTGACAAGTTTAGGAGAGTTGCGGCTCCGACAAAACAGGATATCAGGATCAATCCCGAATTGCATTGGAAACCTGAGCAGCCTTCAAGAGTTTCTCGTAAGTTCGAATAACATGACGTCGGTTCTACCAGTTAGTATGTGGAGCCTTCAAGAACTCATCTTCCTCAATGTGTCGCTCAATTCCTTTAATGGAGGACTACCGTTTGACATGGGGAAAATGAGAGCTATAGTGAGCATTGATCTTTCTTGGAACCGACTTACCGGTGCCATACCGAGTTCCATCCGGGAGTTGGAGAGCCTTGCTTCTCTCAACTTGTCAAGGAACTCGTTTCAAGGATTGATACCGCAATCGATCGGCGACCTCAAAGGGTTGGATTTCCTCGATCTCTCCTACAATGAGTTATCAGGCGCGATACCCGAGTCCATGGAAGGACTTCCATATCTGCAAAGTCTGCACTTGTCCTTTAATAAGCTATCAGGAGAGATTCCTAATGGCGGGCCCTTCAGAAATTTTTCGGCTCTCTCGTTCATTGGGAATGAAGCACTATGCGGAAATGCGACTTTTCAAGTCCCACCTTGCAAACTAAATGGAAATAAATCAAGGGACAAGCAGCTTCGGTTACTATTCATTATGTTGCCAATTGTATCAGCTATACTTTTAGTCCTCGTCATTTGCTTACTTAGAAAGCGTGGGGACACTGGTAAAAAGGGTTCAATTTTGGTGGAGAACCCACCTGGAATTGACCACCCTATGATATCATATCAGGAACTTTGCTCGGCTACTAACAACTTCAGCGAAAGCAATTTGCTCGAAGCAGGAAGCTTTAGCTCAGTGTACAAAGGGACTCTGGCCAATGGGACAGACGTTGCAGTCAAAGTACTAAAACTCCATATTGAAGGCGCCTTGAAAAGTTTCGACGCAGAGTGTGAAGTTTTCCGCATAATTAGGCACCGGAATCTTGTCAAGGTGATCAGCACCTGCACGAATGCCGATATGAGAGTGCTGGTGCTGCAATATGTGCCCCACGGGAGCTTGGAGAAGTGGCTTTATTCCAACAACTATAACTTGGGTCTCCATCAGCGAGTGAAGATAATGGTAGACGTCGCAACGGCGATCGAATATCTCCACCATGGCCAACCAGAACCCGTTGTGCATTGCGATCTGAAGCCTAGTAATGTTCTTCTAAACGAGGACCTAGTCGCGCAAGTCTGCGACTTTGGAATCGCGAAGATTTTGGCTGAGAACAAGCTTGAAACACAGACCCGAACACTCGGCACGATTGGTTACATTGCTCCAGGTACATTTGTCGAATTTTAGCTAATTCAAGCCTTTGATTCCCAATATAATGGTATAATATAATAGAGATATATTAATGCTCGTATGCCTCTCGATCTTATTACTTATGTCCCAAAAGAAAAAGATCAATTGCTGACGTTCTTATTCCACAAACCATGACGCTTGCAGAGTACGGTTTGGAAGGAAAAGTCTCAACAAAAGGAGATGTCTACAGCTTTGGCATATTGTTGTTGGAAGTGATTACTAGGAAGAAGCCAACCGGTGAAATGTTCGATGCGGATATGAACTTGAGGCGATGGGTAGGTGCAGCAATTCCGTACCAAGTGCTTGACATCGTGGATAGCGGAATCCTTAGCACGAAGCAAGAAGATTTGACGCTCCCGGAACTCGAGAGCATAGTTTTATCGATCCTCGAGTTAGGACTAGAATGTTCAAAGGACTTGCCCGAGGAAAGAATGGACATGAAAACTGTCATGGTTAAGCTCAACAAGATCAAGTTGTCACTTCCTTGACAAAAAAATAAGGTGGAGAGCAGTACGTAGAATTTGGGCATAGTATCATCTTAGTTTGTAGACAGTCATTTCGTTTCGAAGGCATTGTGTATAGTTATCTGCAATAAAATTCTCGATCTTCTTTTGAGCTCTCTGAGTTGGAGGAACACAATTGGAAACGCCACAAGACTTTCCAGCCAAGAAAATTCACCCAACGAGAGCCTTAACTCGTGTCTGACTTCGGAAACCAAGATAAACATGTAGAAGATATCGTTTTCGATTGATCATTGGCAGCTTCTTCATCCCTTTGACCAACAGTTTTTCTTAGGCCTTGGTCACGCCTTGTACGGCCCATGAGCCTTGCGTGTCAAGCTGGGCAGGGCCAGGCCTTTCCGGGCCACATGCCAAGCCCGGGCCCGGCACGTGTTTGGGCCAATTTCGACCCCTTTTCTGTTTTAAATATGCCCTTTTTTAAACAAAAAATGCTTGTAATTTGTTTAATCCAACAAAATTTTAATTTATTTTTTTCATATTAAGATTGCAAAGCGAAATCAAACTAAATGGAACAGACAGTAGCTTGGCCTTCAAAAAAAAAAAAAGTTCTCATGCCTGCAATACACACATCTACGGTCATCTTCATTACTTATGCAACGTCATACTGGATATTAACAAAACTATAATTTTAATTGGATGGAGAAAAAATATCAAAAGTCATTTTTTTATCATTATAATTATTTTCGAAAAAGCGAACATCAAATGATATATTCTTATTCTTTCGATGATTAGAAAAGCATTTATTCAAATTTTAAAAGAAGAAATTGAGAGAAGGATGAAACTAGTTGTTGCACTAATGAAACGATAAAATATAATAGGCCATTTTCTTATCTCTATCATCTCTGTCTTTGGCCTGTTTTTCTTTTTTCTCTGTAAAGTTAGATTATATTAAAAAGTTAAAGTAATATGTAGCTGAGGGCTAAATGGGAAATCAAAAAGTGAGATAAAACCCATTTTTTGACTTAACTATGTAGATTAAGGGCATTTTTAGAAATGATATACAATATGAATATGAATAATAACTTATTATCATTGTTGTTTTATCCTTGATGTACAGGTAGAATGATTTGAAGTCCTTCACTTCAAATGAATTTTACAAGAAAAATTTCATTCGAGTAGTATTACAAAAAGACGGGATATCTAAACATCAATTCAAATTGAACTTCACATTTTTCTCCACAAAAATCTACTTAAGTGATGGTTGCTCGAGGTCACTTCAATCTTCTAGATATGAACCATTCGCCTTGGGTCAATCTTATTTCACTAAGATTCAAATGATGGTCGTTCGTGTAGTGACTCGTTGTTGCGCAAATCTGAATTTTTAATTTCGAGAGTAAAAAATGAAAATGATAAGCAAAATTCAGTTTCTAAAAAAATCCGTCCCATGGTTTATGGGCAGGGTCTTCCCTTTCATGGGCTGAGGTGAGCTATAATAATTAAACTGCCTAAATTATTCTAGGAGTGGCACACCAATCATTTCTTAGGTGGATTAGAAACTTAAAATTCTAGTTGTTATGAGGACATCAATTAATCACCTAAATGTCAACTGGCCTGTGAAAGTCAAATATATAGATTCATCGGTTCAATTATGCAAGAGTAAGGGTGAGCACCCGATTTCGAGGTCGATGCCGTCCTTTCGATTTCACATTCTTTGATTAAATTATATATAACCCAAAATTTGATTTTCCACCCCCCAAGTATAATCATCACATCACATCACATCACATCACGTTACAATTAACAACTCTATGTCGAAGTTGTTTGTATGGCGGACTTGGTGCCTCCTAAGATGCCCTGTCCAACTTGATGAGTTGCATAAAAATCATTTTCCCTATAACGTGTAAACGGCCCATTGTACTTAACTCTTGATAACTTTGAGTTTCAATATCCGCCACATATAAGGCGTTTTTAATAGAGAGACCACATTATATTGTACATTTCAGAAAATGACTAGATAGTTTTCACCCAAGCATTGTTACTTGTACAAAAATAATCTTATGAAAATTTTAACTAAAAAATGTGCCGAATTCTTATTGGACATTTAAAGAAGACAATCACTCAATTCATCGTCTCAGATGGACCTCGATCTAAAGTCATGGGTGTTTACATATTAAGATTAAGAAAAGCACGGCACAAATTGATTACCCAGCAATAATAGAATGTCAAAATGAATGTTTAGAATTAATTCTCGGTTGCGATGGCAGAGACTCGATATTATCGGCTACTAGATTGTCGTACATATTTTCTAAAGTCCCTATTTTAAGTAAAATCACTACCTAACCTGTAAGATTAAATCGTGAAATCTCCAACCATAAAAAAATGCTAAAAAATCCTTACCAAAAAAAAATGCTAAAAATTAATCACCCATCTTATTATAAGTCATAAATAAATTGAACAAGACCTTAGTGGTATAAAAAATAGGTCAACAATGGAAAACTTCACTACCACTATTTTTAAATTACATTATATTTCAATAATGTCATTTTCATATCAAGTAGTTAAAAACGGAACACAAAAGCAAATGAAGAAAATTCACCGGTATGACATCAAAGGCACACAAAAAAAAAATACTAGTAAAGAAAATCTAGAATATATAATAAGTTGTCATCTTGACATCTTGATTGAGACTGTAACTAGTTCCATTGACCTCCCTCGTCAAATTCATTAGTAAACACAAAATCATTATTAGTACTTCCAACAAATTTATTGTTTAAGTAATATTTGGAATTTGGGGTTAAAAATTCTAGGCTAGGCTTTACTAATATTGGCCAAAATTTGATTTTTTTATGGGCTACTTTGTGAATTAGCGACTAGAAATAAAATCTTACGATCTTGACGGGCAATCTAACATGGTTTTACCTCTAATCCAATTTTCGAATGGTTGGGATCGTTTAGTAGATTTGGGATCGTAGGTCATTGATCGTACTATCTAAATCACGGTTCTAACAACCATGTCGCCGTATGCTACTAGCACCTGGTACAAAGTGCTTTCTATCAATTGCCTACCTATTTTAATATGTACACTAGTGGTATATGTGCCTTTGGCACGATAGGATACTAACAATTATTTTACCTAATTTTCTAAGATTGATAAAGTTATATCATGAATAATCTTTTAGTTAATATCTAAAAATTAGAAAATAACAATTAAGTAAATAATTCATATTTTTGTTGTTTTAGTTTGAAAATGTGGTATTTTGCAACAATTTATCGTTAAAATGTGCTTATTTTCTTTATTAGTAGCATGAGGGATATGCATTGAGCATATTGTTTTATCATCTTATGAAGAAAAACATTTAAATATGTAAGATATTTTTCAAAAGATTTCGAGACATCACATGGTGAATTTTCATTAGTTTGGAACTAAATAGATAAATTGATAAACAACAAATTAGCACAGGATAAGTGAACAAAATTTTGGCACAAATTACTATGTCACGTCAAGAAATTAATAATACATGCCCATTAGGTAAAAGTTAAATTAAGTGTGAATATGTGACTAGGGGATATGAGGGATTCCTAATTCAAGAACTAGAGGTTATCCATTCGAATCCCACCAACTGTGTGCAAACTACTTTGTGTCTGAGACACTACAAATATCAAAGGTCTAAACCTAAATGGTTCATGGGGCTTGTAGAGTATCCCATGGATTAGGTAGCCGGGTCTCCACCCACATGACCCAACATTTTAAAAGAAAAACAAAGAAATTTTCATTCAAATTCAATGGGATCTTTGTGCAATTAGTTTGTAAATAATATTTAAATTACAATACTGTCCATTGTCTTGAACAAACCATTACAATTTATCTCTAATGAAGATACAAAGTGTCGGTTTTTATGATATAGGTGAATATCCTATATATTTCAATATTTTCATTCATATAGAGCTTTGCTTGTAATAACACATATTACAAACAAAAGCTCAGAGATGCTTGGACATGCTTGGATGGACTTGTTGAAAAGTATTCATGACTTTGTCTCCGAATTTAAAAACTATTTTCTTTCAAAAGTTTAACAAAAGATTTTACATGACTCTAAATAGATTTCAAATATCAATATGTGTAACTCAAAATCATTAAGGTGAATAACATTAAATAAAAGTCAAATCTAAAAAATTACACTAGAAGTAAAAGTAGAAAACAATGTCTAACCATTTTTATCCCATCGAAAACTTTATCAAATGAGAGCAGCACAACATGCATTGTATATAAATTTCTAAGATAAGATTTAAGATTATAGAAATATCTTTTAATAGATAAAAAAAAAATTTGTGAAGTAACTCTTATAGTCGAAGGAACATGCGGACTCTTCCTAGTTATCACAAAACCTTATCACATTCGTGCAGTGGAGCTTTAGGGGGTTCTCCAAGTTCAATCAAAGAGACTCTTCATTATGGAGAAGATAATCTTTTTAGCATTTCTTGATGTTTGTTCGCTTCCTTATTGACGTTTTAGCCCATCATTTGTTCCAGCAACTTCACTGATCAAGAGGCTCTCCTCCACTTCAAATCAGCAACCGAAGTCGACCCAACAACATGACCAAAGGCAGCAATCAGACCGCAGAAGCAAACTTCTGTGAATGGACTGCAGCAACCGCGGGCAGAGAGTCACGACTTTAGACCTCAACTCTACGGGTCTCCAGTGAAGACTCTCTCCTTACCTCAGCAATCTCTCTTTCCTGGCTTCTCTTGATCTTTGCAACAACAGTTTCTATGGCACGGCTCCAGATAAAAACGGTAATTTATGCCGCTTGTACAGTCGAACCCGTTCGAAGGAAACATTCCTCCTAACTTAGCGCTGTGCCAAAATCTCAAATTGATGTCACTTGCTGTGAACAGGCTAACGGTGGCAATCGAGAGAATTTGGCAACTTCCCAAAGTTGCAACAACTGTTTCTTGGCTTCAACAACTTACGGGGTCAAATTCCGAGCTTCCTGGGCAACATATCCACAGTGCAGGGTATTGGTTTGCTCATGGCCAATCTCACACGTTCGATTCCTTTGACACTTTTCTGTAGGTCGCTCACGAGTGTCAGGTTGACGTATAATGAACTTTCAGAGAGTCTTCCCTCCAATCTATGCTACCGCTGGCCTAACATTCAGAAGCTTTTGCTGTCTGAAAACCAGCTCAGCGGCCTGTTACCAGAGAAGCTAACCCAATGCAAAGAGCTTGTTGTGTTGTCATTGTCATTCAATCGTCTCAGGGAAGCAATCCTTGAGACATAGACAGCTTGCAAAAGCTGCAGGAGCTCCATCTCGGTACTAACAACTTGACTGGTATAATTCATCGAACCATCGGTAACATGTCAAGCTTACACCAACTGTACGTAGAATATAACCGCATCTTGCACCAATTGTACGTAGAATATAACCGCATTGGAGGTGACACTCTGAGTGAGATTGGCATTTTTGTCAATCTGAATGAAATGAGCCCTCAGGATAATTTGCTAACAGGCAAAGTGCCTCGAGAGGATTTCAACATTATTTCGCTCCAACTGCTTTCTTTGATGGACAATTTCCTCTCTGGAAGCCTTCCCTCAGGTAGCGATCTAAGCATTCCGAATTTGGAAGAAATCTTTCTAGCAAACAATGGCTTTGCCAGCAACATCCTGAAGTATTTTTCAAATTTTTCGAACCTAATTTTTATCAATGCCAGGATCAATCAACTCAGCAGACTGATACCTATGAATTTGGGCAACTTGAAGAACCTCAGATACTTTGCAGTTTAGTCTATCAGCTAACAGAAGAGACTTATGGTTCGGAGCTCAGTTTTCTCTCTGCTTTGTCTAATTGCCAATCCCTGCAGACCGTGGTTCTGGAAGAAAACCGGCTTCGTGGCTCCATACTGGAATCTATCAAAAACTTCTCAAGTTCCCTACAGATTCTAGTCACTCCCCATTGTCAAATAACAGGTCACATTCCCAACCAAATGGGTCTCTTGAAGAGCTTGACTTTCTATAGTTGAGCAATAACAATCTAGATAGGAACATCTCGTCATCTATTGGGGGACTAAAACAGCTTGCAAAGGCTGTACCGTGATAACAACCATCTCGAGGGACCGATCCCCCATGAGATATGCAACTTGACAAGTTTATGAGAGTAGCTGCTCCAGCAAAATAGTATATCAGTGTCTATCTTAACTTGCATTGGAAACAACTGGTCAGTCTGCAGAGCCTTCAAGAACTCATATTCCTCAATAGTCACAAGTCTTTCAATGGGGACTACCACTTGAGATGGGGAAAATGACAGCTATAGAGAGCATTGATCCTTCTTGGATCAACTTAACGGCGCCATACCGAGTTCCATCCAGGAGTTGAAGAGCCTTGCTTCTCTCAACTTGTCAAAGAACTCGTTTCCAGAATTGATAACGCAAGCGATTGGACCTCTCCTACAACAAGTTATCAAGCACAATATCCAAGTCCCTGGAAGGACTTACATATCTGCAAAAATTGAACTTGTCCTTTAATAAGCTATCAGGAGAGATTTCTAATGCCAGACCCTTTGGAAAATTTTCGATTCTCTCGTTCATTGGGAATGAAGCACTTTGTGAAAATGCAATTTTTGAAGCCCCACCGAGCAAAGTAAATGGAAAGAAATCATCAAGGGACAAGCGGCTCCAGTTACTATACATTATGGTGCCAATTGTATCAGCTATACTTTTGGTCTTTGTCATTTGCTTGCTCAGAAAGCGTCAGAACACTGGTAAAAAAGCTCTCCTGCAATAAACCACCTAATAATATCATATTAGGAGCTCCACTCAGCTACTAACAACTTCAGCGTAAGCAATTTGTTCGAAGCAGGAAGCTTTAGCGCTGTACACAAATGGACTTAGGCCAACGGGACAGACGTTGCGGTCAAATTACTGAATTTCCATATCAAAGGCGCTCTGAAAAGTTTTGCACAGAATGTGAGGTTTTCTGCATAATTGGCACCAGAATCTCGTCAAGATGATCAGCAGCCGCACAAACACTGATCTGAGAGCTCGGGTGCTGCAATACGTGCCTAACGGTCGACTACAACTTGGGTCTCCATCAGCGAGTGAGTATAACGGTCGATGTTGCAAAGGCACTCGAATATCTCCACCATGGCCAACTGGAACACATTGTGCACTGTGATCTGAAGCCTAGCAATGTCCTTCTAAACGAGGACCTTGTTGCACAAGTCCGAGACTTTGGAATCATGAAGATTTTGGCTGAGAACAAGATTGAAACAAGATATAGTTGTCACTTCCTTGACAAGAAAATAAGGTGGAGAGCTGTTCATAGAAATTGAACATAGCATTATCTTAGTTTTGTACATACTAACTTCGTTTCAATGTCTTTTTGTCTAGACATCTGCAGCAAACTTCCTACTCTTCGTTTGAGCTTTCTGTATTGGATAAAAACAATAGAAACGCAATGAGATTTTGCAGGGATGGAAATTTCACCCAACGACAGTCTAGCTTGGGTCCGACTTCAAAAGGTTTTCTCCTCTAATTTCAGAGACTTCTGCTTTATTCTCCATAATGGTTATCTGCAGGTTATCAGGGCCAGAAGTTCCTTCCACAAAAAACACAATTTGATTGTTGTTGAGTGGAGAATCTAGAACTATAAATCTTCTTCGATCTTTGCTGCATAAAAGACCTTCCAGAAAGGGCTATATTCATCAACCTCTGCCCGTAGCCATTTCCCAAAATAAATGTCACTTTCTGGAATTAAATTGCCTTCTTCATAAGGGATCTCTGTGCAATACTTGGCATAATGACCTGGCTTACCACATGAACAGCAAAAATGCGGCAGCCTTTCGTATTTAAAATCAAGCCAAAGCTTCGTACCTCCACCACTAGCAACGATACCAGATTTTAAAGGAGCATCCAGGTTCATCTCTACTTTCGCTCTTGCTGATATAAATCCATTCCTTTCCACTTTCGCATCTAAAACCTTCCCAATCCCCTGAGCAAGTTTGTTCACAACATCCACACAGTAATATTCAAGGGGCAATCCACAAATTTGAACCCAAAAGGCACAAGTTGCAAATTCATAACGATGAGGAGCTGTATTGGGTTCCCACGATTTAAGCAACACGAGGTGATTCGCAAAAGACCATGGACCACATTCTAAAACTCTCTATCTGTCTCCTTCAGAATTGAACGTAAATGCAAAAAGGCCAGAACCCAGGTCGGCAGAAACTACATCTTCAACTCTCCAGGCTCTTTTCATCGTATTCACAAAGGCGTGGAAATTCACGGATGGGTTTGAGAACAGTCTCCCAAGGAGAGTGAGACGGAGTTCCTTTAATATATCCCCAGAAACATCTCCATCCATTACCGACCAAAACTTACCTGATCTCTTGCAGAGCGAATGAAGGCGAGCATTGGCATCCTCATCCTCTGCCATTCGGAGCAAGCTCTGCGAGAGAGGGAACTGAGGGAACAGACGCAGGGTAAGATGGAAGGAGGTTGAGCAGAGATGATATTTTCCTAAGCTACAGATGGAATGCAAATAAATCCTTTATCAAAGAGTCTCAAATCCAATGTCATACAAAAATGGAAATGTCTTGGGTAAAATGCTTTGACAATTATGTTCTTTGAGACTCCAAATCATAAGGTCCCTAGAATAAAGGGGTTCTATGATTTATTCGGTCATAATCGATTGATGGATTGTTTCATTCAGATATAATCCAATCAAGATGTCAATTTCCTGAATGGGTCCTTTTTTCAATTCTTGAACGCAAAGCAACATTGTTTTGCGATGTTTCATCATAAAAATTTTCAAAAAATCATAAATCAAATTAAAAAACACTCAAGATAAAGAGAGTACATGAGAAAATTGACTGAAAATAAATAAATAAAAGAAAACATTAGGATGACAGGTAGAACATGATGTAGCTAGCAAGGATCACCTAGAGGGGGGTGAATAGGTGATCTAAAACAATTTTTAATAATTTATGGAAACAAAATAAATCACGTAAGAGTCCGAATAAACTTCGATTCAAGATAGATTATATAGACAAGCTGCTTCTTGATGTGCGTAATGTAAAGTAAAAGATAAGGGAAAGAGAATCTCGCACACAAGTTTATAGTGGTTCGGCCATAGCAAGCCTACGTCCACTCTCCCACGCTTACAGCCTACTGGCTGGATTTCACTATGTAATCAAGAGGAATTACAACTTCTGAGTATTAACACTCTTGTGTATGATAGGACTCTCTATCTTACACAATCACTCTTACAAAGTGTTCCTCAAGATGTTAATGTTTGGCTCAGAACGACAAGAGAAAAAGATTGGAGTATGCTCAGACTTTGGACTTGTTGATTCTTGATTCTGTACTTCCTTCTGTTGCTCGTTGATCTCCTTAAATACTCCTCTACTAGCCGTTGGACAGCTTTCAGAGGATCATCTTCTAATCTTCACTTTGGACAGATTTGTATAATAAGGATTGAGTAGCCGTTGGTTGACAGATTCTGAATCCCGCTGATTCTGGTCGCCCATACAATCAGAATCTTGGTTTCCATAAGTAAAGCTTTATCCGTTGTAATGCATACTTGTCGTAATGTTTGATTGTCAATCAATTATAGCCTTAGATTGAGACAATCAAAACTTTCCTTCTGTGAAATCCATGCCAGATCACTAGCTTTGTGTTACGTTCTAAATTATGCGTCTGAAGAAATTCTGCGTCTGCATCAGAAGAACTCGCGTCTCGCGCCTCGAAGAATTTCTGCGTCTCGAATAATTTCTTCGTCTACATCTCGCATCCGAATAACTTCGCTTCGCATCTCGCATCTCGCATCTCGAATAACTTCGGCCTCGAATCTCGTAACCTAGATTATGTGGGTCTTCAAAAATATACTTGACAGGTTTGTAAAGTCTCGAAAAACTTTCTTCTGAGCTTCCAGAATATACAGACCTGGAATAAAGTTGTTCAGAATAAGTATCAGATTTACAATAACATAGAAGGTTTTGTCAACTTCAAAATCAATAGGAGTTTTCCTCAACAATCTCCCCCTTTTTGATCAGGTGACAAAACTTTCTTTGCAGATTGAATTATTTTGAAAATAAACATATTAAGCTCAGTAAACACAGATTGAAAGAGCAAACTCTGTTGATATCTGTGTCTTTCTTCCTTTGTATAATAACCTGTAAATCTGCAATATAATTTCTCCCCCTTTTTGTCATCAACAAAAAGAATAATAATGGATAGAATAATGCACTGAGATTAAGTAATCAACCAGTCTAACAATAAGTACGAGATATATTACAGATCAACTGAAAAAAAATTTAGAGAGAAAAGTTAAAAAACAGGCTATTTTTTAGGAGTACGAATCAGTTGAAAATTTTCCAATATTGAGACAGCCTCCTCAATTTTCGAACTGCATTGACCTATGGCCTTATCTATGTTGGATGAGCACATAGTAATGGCTTCCTCTAATGCTGTTTTATCTGCTGCTGTCTGAAGTTGTTGAACTTTGTTGTTTTCCTCAACAATTCTCTGTAGATTCTGCATATTTTGTTCTAGAGCAGCTTGCTTGTCTTTAATCTCAAGCAGAAGTAAAAGGATGTTCTGATTTTCGGATGGCTGACCTTGGACATGAGCTTCCTCAGACTGATTGTACCCTGTGGCTGATTCTGGTGGAATTTCCCCTTGAACAGGTGCCTGATCTTCAGAGACATGTTCTTCATGAATTTGTTCTGAAACTTTTGGAACTAGTTCAGGAACATGTTCTAGTTCTGCAGTGTGACCTGATTCAAAGTGTTCTGCTTCTGCTTCATCATTTTCATCATGCAGAAGAGTTTTTCTTTTTCTTTCTGTACACTTTGAATGAGGTAGAAGAATCAGTTTGTTTGCTGGCTGAACTTGTTTGTTTCGTTTGCTCCTTTTCTTTCTCAAGTTTCTTGCCAACAGATTTTGCCTCTGACTTTTGAGCCTCTTTTCCTTTTACTATGTCCCTTACATCTTCAAATTTCTTCATTTTGGAGAGCATTCTTTCTCCAACAAACATAAGAGGAAGCATAGTTTCTCACAACTCACCAGGAATAGATATATTGAGATACATGAAGATACGAGTGATTAAAGCTCCATATGGCAGATGACCCTTATCCTTCTGTAATGCTCTGTACATATGGAATATGATGAGGTGAGGGAGAGAGAAGGATTGACCTTTCAATATAGCCCAAATGAGCTTTTATCTCTGATTTTGATAGGTCAGTTTTTGAGGCATTTTTTGGCTTCAAACAGTTTATTATGATCTTATGCAAGATCACAGATCGTCTGGATAAGTCAGAATAGGAGAGATGGTGCTTGGATCCTTGAGCAAAATTCGGATTTTCAGAAGCCACCTGTGAAGCTTCTTCAAGATTCACTGCTAACGGAGTAAAAGTGGAGTGTGTGGCTCCAATTATCCTTGCCAACTCATGCGCCTTTAAATCAACCTTCTTGTCACCAACAGTAAACTGTATCCAATTTGGTGACAGAATTGAAAGATTGGAATAAAAGTAGGCGGTTAATTCAGCATAAATATTGGCAGATTGAAGGCAAAATTCATAAACCCCTAATTTTTCAAATAGGTGTTGTACAGAAATTCCAGCCTTCTCCAGGTATTCGAAATCCACAGTCCTATTGTTCATTACCCCTCTAGCAAGTAACAACTTGTAGTACATATGATGCGCAGTGCTTCTGAATAAGCCTCCTATTTCAGGCAAACCAGATGCTATTCCCACCTTTATCTCAAAAGTCTCAAAAAATCGTGCATCATCATCAGGGACGACAAATTTTGAGGCACTAGAGGACTTAGGGCTTACATGAACTGATTTCTTTTCAGAGGGAGTTGAAGCTTCTCCAACTTTTTCTTTGCCCTTTCTGGAGGAAGTCTCTTGTGGGGTAGAGCTGGTTGGAACTTGTCCAGATTTAGTGCAGTATTCTGAATAGGTTTTCACAAGGTGAGTTTCAGAGCGAAGATCGTTGTCTTTCAGACAAGCACGAAGGGCCGACTCAGAGGCATTATTCCTTTTCAACCTTTGATAATTTTTCCACACACGTTTAATGCTTCTGAACCGAAAATCAGTTTTACCAGACGGTTTTGATGGAGACGATCGCTGAGGTGTTGTAGCTTCAGAAGAGTCTTCGGGATGGTCGGATTCTGAGTCTGAAACTTCCAAATATTCTGCCGGTGCGGTAGACTGTGAGTCTTGATTGAGAATACGGGAAGATCTTCTACGGGCCACCATCTTGACCGGCATTATGATCACCTTTGGAGACGAAAGATTTGATCTTTGGAGGAAGAAGAGGAGAGTCTCTGAATATCGAAAGGGTTTGGAGAGTAAAAGATCGTACTGATAGGGTTTTAAAAAGAGAAGGACGGGTTTAAAAAGGAGGTGGATAACTTTTGGAAGGAAAATTTACTTTTAGAAATTAAAAAGATATCCCAAACAAGTAGGAAGAAAATATACTCTTTAAAACTTAACCAAACATGATGATATTATAACAATATATTAAGCACATTTTATTAGATAAAGTAGAAGACATACCTGATTTGCTTCCAAAAATAACGATTTATAAAAATATCCTGCAAAAAATGTCAAATATATACCCGCCAAGATTTGAATAAGGAACGTACCTTTCTTTGTGAGTCTGAAAAATGTTCAGACTGAGAGTACTTGAGTCTGAAAAATTCCTGTCTATCAAACATTTCAAGAAAATGGATAAGTGATGCACAGTTTCTCTCTTATGAATTCAAACGAAGATTTATCAAGAGGTTTTGTAAATATATCAGCTAATTGATTCTTAGAATTAATGAATTGAATATTTACATCACCATTTTGAACATGATCTCGAATAAAGTGATGCTTGATTTCAATATGCTTAGCTCGAGAATGAATAATTGGGTTCTTTGTCAAATTTATTGCACTTGTGTTGTCACATTTGATTGCAACACTTGATTCTTCGATATCAAAGTCTTGTAATTGCTGCTTCATCCACAGAATCTATGCACAGCAACTCCCCAATGCTACATATTCTACTTCTGTTGTAGAAAGTGCAACTGTATTTTACTTTTTTGAGTACCAGGATACCAACATATTGCCAAGCAGTTGACATGTACCTGAAGTACTTTTCCTGTCCACTTTACATCCAGCTAAATCAGCATCAGAATATCCAGTAAGAGTAAAATCTGATTCTTTGGAATACCAAAGGCCTAACATTGGATATGTTCCAATGTATTTGATTATTCTCTTTACTGCAGAAAAATGAGATTCCCTTGGGGCTGATTGAAATCTCGCACACATACAGACACTAAAAAGAATGTCAGGTCTAGATGCAGTTAGATATAATAATGAACCTATCATGCTTCTATATACCTTCTGATCAACCTTTTTACCATTTTCATCTTTGTCCAGTTTGGATGAATGAGACATGGGAATGTCTGTCTTCTTGCAATTCTGTAATCCAAACTTCTTGATAATCTCCTTTGCATACTTCTCTTGGCAAATAAATGTACCATCTTTGGTTTGTTTCACTTGAAGGCCAAGAAAGAAT